AAATAATGTTTACTTCTAGTCTAGATCAGCTCCCTGCTCCAGTTGCCTGCAGTGCCCACAAATAGCTCTGGCAGGGAATAAGCAGCCCAAAAGGAGTTGAGAGGGGGAAGGAGAGAAGTGCTGGAGCGCTGTGTGGTCGAGCAGCGGTGCCACAGCTTGGCTGCCAAGCTCGGAAATGTATCCCAGTGGAAACAAACTCCACCAAGCACACCGCTACAAACCCCCAGAGCACAAGTGCTTAAGGAGTTTTAGCTTAATTTAATGTGATCGAGAGTCAACGCTCTCCGTTTTGCCACGACATTTAAAGTGCTTTAGTTGAAATCCTCCCGCTCGTTTAATTCGCGGCGTGAGGGGAACGATCGTCCTCTTACACGGCGAAGACAAATTAATTCAGCTGCGTAATTATAGCTCTGCATATTTTTTTGATCTTCGGCGTTAAAACAATAATTCAAGGCCCCATTTATAAAACTCCTCCAAGTTCTGGGCTGTCTGAAGTTTCCCTGCTTCAAACATCCCCTTTTTTTTTTTCCTCAGAAACTAAACATTCATTTGTCACGTCTGCACGACAAAATCGCCTATTCTTGGAGCTGTGGTTAAATGACTTGGACCCAGCCTTCCTCCTCCCCTCCCCTCCCACACCTTTCCTCTAAATTTCAATAGTTTTAAAGAATTGTCATGGCAATAAGAGACTCAGTGAGACAATGGTAGACACCGAAATTTCTTTTTATTTCTCTGTAAATTTGTCTCCAATATCACAAAATGACACCACGTGCCCATGGCTCTGACCTTGGGAGGCCACAAAAGAATTCCTGGCTCCATTTTCACTTTGGACACTGCTGATTGGGTTAAAGAGTTCAAGGAAAATGTCACTTGTAGCTCTTCTCTCAATGTTGAATTTTAATATCTTTTACTGGGCATGATCCTTGGGAAAATGAAGCTGGAGCAATGTCATCTCAGAAGCTAAAACTATTTAACTCAAATTGTTTATTTTTAGCTTTGGAAGATCCATGGGGTTTATATATCAATGAAATTAGTTAGATTTTTAATTAATTAGGGTATTTCAGGTAAATTATGAAATACTGATTTATAGTATTAAGGTTTCCTCCAGCTTTCCTTCATAAGAAAATTAAAATCATAGAATCATGGAATGGTTTGTGTTGGAAAAGACTTTAAAGATCATATCATTCCAACCCCTGCCATGGGCAGGGACACCTCCCTCTAGGCCAGGTTGCTCAGAGTCCCTTCCAACCTGGCCTTGAACATTTCAGCTGTAGATTTATCAATGCATAAATGTCCTTATAGCTACAATAATTTGCCCAGAGAAGTTCTGGCTGTCCCATTCCTGAAAGTGTCCAAGCCCAAGAGTTTCACAGAAGTTTTGGGATGCTGTTTTATGTGCAGGGTGAGAGTGCAGACACAGGGCTGGCAGGGCTGGGAGGAGGCAACAAGCTGTTGTGGAATCAGCCAGGATCTTACAAACTACACGAGCTGTTAACACAAATAAAACCATTCTGCAAAGAGCTGCAAGGGAAACCTTGAAAGAGCTGTGAAAATGTCAGGCTCTCACCTTTGGGAGGGCCTGTGGGGAGAAAAACAGCTCCTTTGCTGCATATTCCACCTCTCCCTTGCAACTCTGCAATCTGAAAGGCAGGATGCCACCACTAGAAAACTTGGCAGAGGAGCTGCATGGAATAGGGAGTGTGTTGATGGAGGTGATGAGTGGAGAGAAGATGTAGTAATTACTGATCTACTAAGTGCCTGCTTCTGCCCAGGAGAAGTGTGGGAGCAGACTTGCAGAGGTGGTGGTATTCAAGGCTGAAAAATTTTGGATAGAACTGGTAGGAAGTGAGAACTTTGTGCCTATGGAAAACTGGTCCTTCAGATGCGCTTTTATGGTGGAACTAAGCAGCTCAAAGTTCTGTTAGTTATGGAGGAAACTTTTTTCTTTAAATGAAAAAAATTGTCATTTTGGTGGAATAATAAAAAAAAAAGAAGACTCAGAAGTCCATTTTTTCTTTTTGTTTTTTTTTTAGACAAGTCTTTCTCCTTAACCACAAACAGCTGGAAATTTGCACAAAACAGAGACAGTAGGAAGGAACTCATTTTAATGGAATGTCTGTGCTGCAGATTGGCAGAACAAGGTTGAAAATACAGAAAAGCCAGGTTTTCCAAAATGATCCATGGTTATCAGAGTTCCTATGTGGTGGATTTCAGCATAAGACCCCTCTACACCAATGCCCACTCTCTCTGAGAAAAAAAAACCTTGAGAATGTCTTACATCGAGCTCTCTCTGTTCTCTGGTACACTGAAAAGTGGCAAATAATGCCTTGTGTGGTTTCCACAGGCATGACTTCAACAGCACTGAATAAACACACAGAATGGTTCAGATGTGGTGGCTGAAATGGAAAATTCTGATGTGGACACCCAAAGCTTACTCACAGGCAACTTATTTTTCTAATACAGGGACCGAAAAAGTGCATCCCCGTGAAATGTGAGATGTTGCTCCTCTGAAATGGGTCTGTTTGTGATTCATTTTCCAGCAGTGGCTGAAATGGCTGTAGGGTGCATGATCAGTAGAGCATTTGTGGGACAGCCTAAAGGCTTTTAACCTTAATAGAACTGATACATTACGGGAAACGTCGTGGATGCTCAGTCAAATATTTTTCTTAAAACTCGGATCTCTTTGGGAAGGAAAGAATAGGGAATGTGTCCAAATGCTGTAACTGGTGTGATCTTGTGAGGACAGCACAGATCACTATAGTCTTATAAGATTTTCTAGGATTATAACAGTATTAAATATTTGTGAGACAGCTGAAAGTCCATGTTGTTGTCTTACTAATGAAAGCACTTTGAGTAACTTAAATTATATAAATCAAATTATCATAGAATGACCTGTGTCATTCTGAAGGTCTGAAAGGACCTTCAAGATCATCCAGTTCCAACCCCCTGCCATGGGCAGGGACACCTGCCACTAGCCTAGGTTGCTCCAAGCCCCATCCAACCTGGCCTTGGACACTTCCAGGGATCCAGGGGCAGCCACAGCTTCTCTGGGCAACCTGTGCCAGGGCCTGCCCACCCTCACAGGGAAGAATTTCTTCCTAATATCCAACCTAACCCTACTCTCTTCCAGTTTGAAGTCATTTTCCCTTATCCTGTCACTAAATAATCTTGTGAAAAGTACGTCTCCATCTTTCTTGTGGTCTCCCTTCAGGGACTGGAAGGCTACAATAACTTCACCCTGAAGCTCCTCTTCTCTTCTCCAGGCCCAACAAAGCCAGTTCTGTTTGGGTTGTTCACCTCCTCAAATGGGAATAGGAGGGAATCAGCAAAACACTGGGATGTACTGAATACTGCTGCCAGATTTGAAGACCTGTGTCATGGTGAATTAAGACTCTGTAGGTTTAAGTTCTCTCATCAGAATTTTTCATAGTTTTACCAACTGAAAAAGCAGATTTAGCATTATGGGCTGAAAGTTTTCCATGTTACACCTCTGCAGGGAAATTTCAGTTCTTGAGATTATGTGGTTTCTGAAATGAGGTTGGGAAAAATAGGAGAATTTGCCCTCCATAAATACATTTGTAAGTGTTCGTTTAAATGGTCTAGAGCTTTATCCTCTGGGAAAAAATCATAAAAATTGACAGCAGCACAGCTCTAATTTTGTTTTAGACAGCTTTGTGAAAGCTTGTCTAATCTAGGCAAGGTGTAAGTATTTGAGGAATAATGAAACAAAGCCTTTTGCACACACTGAAGGGAAAGCTTGCCAACTTCAGCTCTCCAAAAACACCTTCTTGTGTTCTCAGTTCCCTCACAGATCCAACCTACAAACAAACTCTGAAAGCTTCATCCCCACAGACACTTCCAAATGCAGTCGAGCCCTGCAGAGATGCAACTTTAGTCCCTCGTAGCTGTGGTGACTCTGGGAGATGAGAGGGTTCTTCTTTCCATGGTCTCAGCATTCCCACTCCCAATCCATGTAGATAAGCAGTAAGAAGTCATTTGAAACAAGTGCAGGAAGATGAGTGGGTAAGATGGATAAAGAGCAGTGGAAACAGGGTTGTAGGATGGACCATTGTGGGAAGATGGGAGCTGGGGTTAAGAACTGATTTTGGGGATGGCAGGATATGAGAATAGAAGAGCAGAGAACAATATTTTAAAGATATTTCATATCTTGTGTCTCTGATCTTGCAATGTTAACCTTTGCTCAATATTGATATGGAATCTGAAATCCTCCAAGAGAGTCTGAATTGATGGACAAGCTTTGATACACACCCAGCAGGGCTGGAGTACAGCCAAAATTATGGCTTCTAGACATTAGATTAGACAAGAGAATGTTGTAAAAGCGATTTAAATACATTTTCATTTAATGCTTGGGATGAGATGAATGAGCTGAGTGCACACATTTCAATACTTGGACTAAAGGAGTGGATGGGTTGAGATTTAGACACTGAACTTTCAGAAGTCTCAAGCAAAGTGGGAAGAATTTTTGTTCAGATGCCTGTGAGTAGCTTTTGATGCTATGTTTTAAAGTGCAGCACCATGATCACTACACCTACACACAGATACACTGGAGCCACACTGAAAAATGTCGATTAGAATAAATTGACATCAACATTAGCTGTTAGGAGAGGGTTTCTCTTGTGCCAGCAATGTTGTTCAATACAAGATTTGCAACATTTAGAGCTCCTAAAACAATTTTGGGTTTAAAGAAAGAATCAGGGGTCTTGCCAGGAATGTGTAGGATTCCCATAATCTTGGAATCAATCACTTAATTCATTCTGTCCAGTCACTGAGAATGCAGAGAAATCAAAAAGTTGAAAAGCTTAAATCCAGCTTGGAGAATTGTTAATATTTATTTCCCACTTCACTGTCCTGTTACGTCACTTCTGTGCAAAAAGATAAATGCTTCAAATCCACAACTGAGGGGAGAAAGAGAAGTCAAAAAGCAGGTGAGAGATGCTGAGAAAGGCTAAAGGAGTGAAGTCTGACTCTTGCTTTGGAACATGAACTCGAGTGCTTTATACCACTGTGCTCTGCACACCCTGAGCCTGGCAGTGCTTGTAAGTAATTTTGCATGGAAAAAAAAACCAAACAACAAAAAAAGCTTTGACTTCATTGTGTTTCAATAATTGTTTGTTTCCTCCTTGGAGCAGATGCACAGAGTCTTTCTCTTTCCTCTTTATTTGCTTTGGATTCCACTTAAACAAGGCAAGATGCGATGAAAAGTGTGAACAGCAGCAGAAGGGACACACACTGTAGGATCTTTATATCAATTCATTTCACTGCTTTCTTGTCCCACACTCGTTATAGAGAAACAACATAATTGGCAGAACTCCCTTTTTTTTTTTTTTTTGTAATATGTGTGTGTAGGCTTTAAGACAGTGACAAGAAGAAACTGGAGGAGGGCTGTTGCATTAGAGTAGCTGAGTTTTGATAGAGTTTTTTTCTTAAATTTCAGATTATACAGTCTTATTAGTTACAACTTCAGCTGCTTTGGTGGCAGCATTAATGTGATTTAATATGTGAGCAGCTGGGATGCTTCAGGTGAAAAATGGAAGCAGCAGGGATGTTTATGGAAGAATTAGAAACATTTAAATGATTAGAAAGCTCAGAGGTCTTGCTGATATTTTGGTTTGGACAAAGATTAGTAAATCAGCATTCAGGATCACATGGATAGTAGGAAATGTCCGTGCAAAGTGGGGGAAGGATATTTGCTTTGTTTTTGAGAGTTATTCTGTGTTCAACATCTTCTTTTTGTGATCCTCCCTCTATATCCTTTCTTCTTTCCTGGGAACCTCTTTTCTGAAGGAATATTTCATGAAGGGGGGGTGGGGGGGGGCACAGAAGTCTTTTTGTGGATTGAGAAAAAAAAAAGCACCGTGAAATGATTTTAAAGACTTTTTACTGATGTGAAGCTACAGCTTCCTTTGTATCCTCTGTGTGACAAACTCCACTTCCCTGTAGTGGGAGTAGATAAGTGTAATTGCTTATAAGTAAAATATCAGGCTAATAGTTATAAATATGACTGAAGGTCTCTGTAAGATCCTGTCCCATTTACCCAAGAGAAATAACACTTTCTTCTACAAAGTTGCATTGGTTATTTTATGATTATGCACTGATCAGAAACAAGTTTATGTGTTAGTGTATAATAAAAATCTCCCAGCATGTGTTGCATATTTTAATATAATAGAAGATAAGTGAACAACCCTTATTTGAGTACATAACAGTGGAAAAATAGCTGTCTGGTTTTATTGGTGTACCTGATCATATACTTTTTCTGGTAGAGCTGAACTCAACTTTTGGAGAGAGGTTTTAAAGGCTTTAGAAACTGAACGAACGTTTTCAATTTATTTTACCTGAGTTTCTGTCTTAGAAGACCTTGCACTCAGTGTCTGTTCAGGCAGTGCTTAGTGATGACTTGCATATAAATATAAAATGTCACAGCATCTCTTCAGGCTGGGTCTTCTTGAAGGAAGAGGCAATAATTTGAAACCCTCCTGCTTGATCAGCCTCATCTTTTTATTTGAGCTGCACGTGGTAAAATGTTCTCATGAACCTGGAGACTTAGAAAGAAAACAGGGAATAAAAAAGGTTTCCTGGACTGGTGAATAAGCCAAACAAGCTTTGCTCTTGCCATGAACATTTCAGTGAGCAAAGAGAGTTTTGACAGGCAAGATCTAGCAATGTTTGATGTTTGGGGTTTTTTTGCCAGGAGAAATAATTTAGGACAGTGCAAACGGGTACATTTCCTGCCTGCTGAGGTTTTTCTGGGCACAGTTCAGCGAACCAAGAGTATGTTGTAGAATAGATTGTCAGTAAATGGTTTGACTGCTTTTTCTACTGACTAATAAAGCTACTTTGTGCAATAGCTGTCACACACCATGGTTAGGGAGCCTTCCAGCTTAGATGACCATCATTGCCCAGGGTGAGTACAAGAGGGGATAGAATATATGTTGGCATGAAAAGAGATATCAAGTGAGCAAACATTTTCAAGACAGATGCCAATTTTCTGTCATTCTACCTACCATTACACATCTTAGTTGATTTGAAGGGCTCCCCAGGCTTCTTGTTTTCAACTGATCTCTCTGACATCACTGGGGGCATCACACTTCATTCAGCCTCGAGAACCTTTTCATTGCTGCCTTAAACTGATCCGTGGCACTGCTGTCTGTAAACTTGGCAGGAAAACCACATCCTCCTAAAAGTGCAGTAAATGGGAAGCAGATGATCTTGAAGGGCATAAATGGAATTTTCAACTGCCAAGTTCCAAACCCCAGAAAGAACAAACGTTGTGCAATTAATCCAGAGTTCTCCAGCAGCCTGAGAGCATCAAGCTGTGAGACAATAAGCAGTTCAAATGCTCTGCAGACCAACAGGAGATGTGGGCATTAACATGGAGGGGAAACACCAGTTACCGGAATGGGTACGATCTGCCCTTTGAATGAACTGAAAGCCAGATATTTATTTTCAAAATTCCCTGAATATTAATCCTCCCTGGGTGGAAGAAAACTGAGCCATATGCCAGCCACCTGCTCACCGTGCAAGTCTCATCCTGGGTTTATTTTCCTGATGTGTCTGTGTGTTTTTGTATCTGCCTTCACTCACACAGAGCACACCAGCACCAGTGGCCAGGGAGCAGAGCTAAGTCAGAGTGTCTCTTATGGCAACTGGTCTTCTGGGACTGGGGACAGTGGTTGGATAAGGCAAATAACCCTTTCTCTGTGATACATAAAATTAAATGTGTCTTTCTGCGCAGTTGTGATGTACAACAGGCTGCTGCAGACTTTGTCCTCTGGTGGCCAAGGTCCTCTGGAGGCCTTCAAACTCTCTTCTGGTGCCCACATTAGCTCAAGTCTAAATAAGGACTAAAAGCAACTAAAGAGTTCCTGCAATCAAAACACCTTCATACCAAACCAACAACTGTGCTTTGGTGCAGAGTTTGGGGTTTTTCTTCCACAGAAAGGAGTTTTGCCTCCCACCCTGTGTAAAGAAAGGCAGATGGCAGAAGGGAAAGAACAGATCAATTCCTTTTAGAGTGAAAAACTCTTTCAGAAGACGATTTTGCAGCAATTGTGTGTGATTCCAAGGTTGTGTTTCTTTGGAGGTTGGCAGGGGTTTGTCTGTGCCCAGGTGGGCTCTGCAGCACGTCCTGCAGTGCTGAGCCCTTCGTTATGAAAAGGAGCCTGACCAAGTGCACTCTGTCTTTCTGGGGCCAGATTTAACAGGGTCTAGCTAAATTTAGGGTGGAAATGAGTCCTGCACTCAAATCCAGGCCCTAGCAAAGAGGTCTTTGATTATGAACATAGCCAGAGGAATCTCATAAACTTTCCAGACCTGTGATTACCATCTTCTGACATCTCTACTGCCTGATGGTTTGCTCTGATGTAAAGTATTACAGCTCTCCTGCCTTTAGCAGAGCTCAGCTGGGTTCATACATATGTAGATGTGGTGTTTAGGGATGTGGTTTAGTGGTGGATCTGACAGTGCTGGTTGGACTTGATCTTGCAGGCATTTCCAGCCTTAATTGTTCTGTGATTCTGTGATCCCAAAGTGTTGTAATTTGTGTAGAGACTGTGGTACCCTCTGGATTCTAAACCCTAAGGTAGCATTTTATGTCCTTAAAACAACCCTGTTAGCTGCAAAAGTAGGTCTGGACTTAATGGCTGATGGTTCAACGCCTTCCTGCTAATCATCAGAAACTCTGCTCCCTGCAGGTTGCTGGAAATGTCCACCCAGAATGTGATTTTATGACAGAGCTGAAAAAAAATGAGGCTGAGTGTCTGGAGGACACACAAGAGGGTGGAAATGCAACATCAGCAGGTGGCCATGCGTGAGGGATGAAGGGAGGGAGGGAGGGAGAAGTGACCCACTGGCAGTGTGAGGACACAGCCAGGCTGCCAGTGTGCTTGTTTGAGGGTTTTACCTACTGTCCCACATACCTGTTGTCTTGTCAGCTCTTCTTCCATCCATTCTCTTTCCTTTCAATTCTTCTTCCCACAGTCTTTCCCATTCAAACATGGACAGTCAATTTATCTGAGTGAATCCTTGTGTGCTTGTCCTTTTATCCAACTGGATGCTATCATGGCATCATGCTTGCATGTCCGTGAGGGTGTTTCGATCTTTAAAAATAGGATAACACCATGAAAAGTACTGTTGTCTTGTCTTTCTTCCAGGATCACTCTCCCTCCCATTTCCATAACACCTTTTCATTTTTTTCATTATTTCAAAAAGGCACCCCAGTCTAACACAGTGGGTCTAAATAAAGCAGATTAAATAATCCCCTGGGGGTGTTTATTTCTCATCATAGAATAAAAATTGTGGCTAAAGAACTATTTTTGTAAGATATGTAAGCGGTGGAGTGGCAAAGTTTAAAAAGGCCTGGGGTTTTATTTTGCTCAAATATAATTATGCTTAAAAATATATTTCACTTTCTGCCTGAGGTTGCAAGAGAACTTGGGACAAATTACTGTGCTGGCCAGAGGCAGATGCTGGAGAGACTCTTGCCTTACCATGCCCAAACATCATCCTTCACTTCATGAAGGAGCCAGGTGATGTATATCAGGGTTGTACTCCTGTTCTGCTGTTGCCTGGAAGAGCATTTCTAAAAAGTGGGGGTGAAGACAGAAAGTTGCATGTTCCTGCTCTCCAGTTAGATCAGAGCAACATTGCAAAGGTTTTAGCAGGATCTGAGGCACCTCAGCAGTTCTGCTCATGTTTTAAGTGCTGTCCATAGTCTGTGATGAGGCCCTGATCCAAACCCCACTGAAATAAATAGAGGGATTCCTTGGGTTTCCGTGGGCTTTGGGATCAGCTCGTTCTGTGAGTTTTCTACAAAGCTCATATGAGGTTGTCTAGGTCAGAACTTAAGCACGGGGCTTTCTGAGATTTATGCTGTGATTGGTTTGGGATGAAATGAAAGGCAGAGGGGTGAGTAACGTGATTGCTCTTTAAGACCAAGTTTGGAGATGCAAAGCAGAACTTAGCCCTTGAAGCAGCACATGTGCTTGGCCAAATGCAAACCTGCAAATCAATCCTTTGTGTCTGCTTGCTCTGTGGGTGAATACGGCAAGGAACAAACTGTGAGCCCACAAGGAGGAAACCATCTTCCAGGAAAGACCTGGATTTGGCAGCTCCACAAGAAAAAGAAGCTGTAAAGCCCGAGCTCTGCCTCACCCAACACATGCTTGTTATAAACGAGGGATAAGGAAAGTCCCTTTCATCTGTGCAGATTCATTTCCTGCCATGGGATTCTCGGATTTATCCTTCATCTGAGTCATAAATCTTTTTATGGAAATGTGCTATCCTCATAGAAGGAACTGCTTATCCCAGCCTCTGGTCTGCAAGGGAAGAATAAACCCCAAGGGAGGTGGGAATGAGAGGGGATATATTAGAAGGGTGAGTGCTGTACGAGGCAGAAGTTCGATGGAGCAGTGCTTCCCAATCCTCTCCAATGGACTTCTTGTTCCCTGATTTAATTAATTCCTTACTCCTTCCCACCTCTACCCCTGTCACTTTGGTTCTCTCACCTCTTTTCCCATCGTTTTTCTATAGATAAAGTATAAAGTTCTGTGTCTGATGACCTGAATGTACACACACAAAGTGTCCTACCAACTCTGTGAGATGCCAATGCACGTGATCCTCTCCTCCTGGCATAACCTTTGTACCAGCCAGAGGTCTTCTCCTGGGTTTTATTTTCCATATTATGTGGATTTCCACTGGAAAAAAATTAAGTGTTTCTGTTTCAGCTGGGGTAGTAAAAAGGAACTGCACAAGGAAAGGCTGGTCTGACCCGTTCCCTCCCTACCATGTTGCATGTCCAGTAGAAGATGAGATTCCCCTTGAAGAAGTAAGTTTAATTACATAAAATATGGGTGTGGTGTGCTGGTGTTATAGGATTCCTTTCTGTTCCTGAAGAACACTGCAAAGGGAAGCTCAGCTGAAGCTGAAATTTCTTTCTAAGTGTGGAATGTAATTCAGATTTGACTCTGGCCACTTATTTTGGAAAATAACTGGGAATGTTTTGTTATCCATGTGTAAGAGTGGCATAAAAATAAAGCCAGCTGCAAATTCCAAACAATCATGAACTTGCCTACAGATACAACCACCAGAGATGTATCATAAAATGTTCATAAAATATGAATTTCAGTAATACCAGTCAGCAAGATGAATTTGTAGCATCACAGCACCAGTGATGTGCTGCTATAACACACCACTGTTCCAAATTCAGCAATATCTAAGGACAGGAGAGGGTTTGGGTTTCTCATCCTACATGAAATATCTAATTCATTAAGGAAAAAACAGTCTCAAATTTTTTTATATGTCGGTAATGCAGATCAGAATCTGCCCCAATACTTCAGCCAGATTTTGAGAATTGGTGATGTCTAGAGGTTATGTGTTTGATTCCTGATTAATATGGATAAAAATGTAGTTGATATCATCAGGGAAGATTTTGCTTGTCTTCCCATTACTTTTTGTGCTGACTACTGTAACTGTTTAGCTCAAACTTCCTTCCCAGCCTCTAAGCCTCAGCACCTGCTGCTCTGCATAAATAAACCCTTCTCCTTCTTTCCTTCTTTTATTGCTTCCTTACACTGCTGGGGTAAAAACAATCTTCAGTGGGGGTAGATTTACGTTAGATATTAGGAAGAAATTCCTCCCTGTGAGGGTGGGGATGTCCTGGCACAGGTTGCCCAGAGAAGCTGTGGATGTCCCATCCCTGGAAGTGTCCAAGGCCAGGTTGAATGGGGTTTGGAGCAGCCTGGGCTAGTGGAAGGAGTCCCTGTGACAGCAGGGTTGAATCGAGATGATTTTTAAGGTCCCTTCCAGCCCATTCAATGATTATTCAATTATTTTACCTAAAAGCAAACTCCTCAGTTGTAGGTTTCTCAATGTTAGGATTTGCTCATTTTCTGTGTTTTCCATGTCTGACTTGTTGCCAGACAAGGTCAGCCTAGCACAGCTTTGATGTTTCTCATGGAGTGCTGGCTCCAGACTTACTGGCAGGCTTTCCAGCTCTGAGGTACTTCCCTGAGCTCTGGCTGGAATTGTGCACAGTCAGGAATTTGGATAATCGTATACAATTCACAGTTCATCCACTAGACAAAAAAAGAGGCCACTATGCCTGGTTTCCACATCATACAACTTCATCCATTCTCAAAAAATAATGGTGCAAATCAAGGCTAATCACTACAAGGTGGATCTGTATCAGTGCTTTGATGGGATCAGGTGGGAGCTTATCAGGGATATGTCTTGGCTCTCCCCACTTACTGCATTTACACTGAGGAGTGTTCTCAGAAAGGATAACTCATCTTCTCATGGGTGAAACTAAACTGGAAGACAAATTCTAGGTGCACCTGGTGTGTTCTGGCTGGTGTTAAATGCTCAGATTACACCATGGATGGTGATAAATATTCACTTATGAATGTAGGGTCCTCAGCACCAAATGTTTCACTCCACTAAACCAGGGGCTGGAATTAGATGGTATTTCAGGTCATTTCCAACCCAAACCAGTCAGGGATTCTATGACCTGCACTTGTGAAGTCAGGTGTGGGGACAGATCCTTTTTCTTGCTGTGAGAAACCTATAAGGTCTCATTTTCCCATGAGCTGAATTGTCTTCTGAGGGTCTTTCTGTCCCTTCATTAACTAGAAAAGAAAGAGAATGAGAAGAAACAGGATTGTGTCAACACTTCAACAGTTCAGTCCTGTGGCCAGGCTCTCACATTCCTCATTTTATTCCAGACTCAGCTGCTCATATTTAGGCAGCTAATTTTCAAGCACCTAAAATAAATAAAATGAACCCTGAAGTTACACTTAAGGCTCAAAACAAGTATAACCCCTTTCCCACAGTGAACTGCAGCAATGCACTGCAGAGCTGTGAAGATTTTAGGTTATAAAAGCATTGAAATGGGACCCAAGAGATGGCCCATGTTGGATTGAAGGGAAAGATTTGCAGCCTAGAGCTTATCAATTCTATTTTCTGCTTCCATGTGTGATAGTGGAAATCAACTTACCCTCTCTCAGGGATTGTGTCTGATAGAGGTGCCACTTAAATTGAAATGGATTGGGTGTTTTTTTGATTGACATTCTGTCTGAGTAACAGTTGAGTTTGGCAGCAAGAAAAACAGAGGAGGGGGAAAAAAAAGAAGAAAAAAACCAAGTAACTGGAACACAATAAAAAGGAAAAGGAAGAATAGATGGTAAAATTGGAGATAAGGCAGCAGAGAGTAGGAAAGTGGAGAAACAAAGGGAAAGGCTGATGGGATTCTGTATTCATCATGTAGCCAGCTGTCAGCAGGATTAAAAAATATAAAATACAGTATTTATAAAAATGCATATAAAATACACTATACTATAAACTATAGCATTTATAAATATGCACCTTATTTTTAACAATGCCTTCATTAAAGATTGGCTTTGGTGTTTATGGTTTTATGAAGGAGCTTCAAACCACCCTGATCAATACATGTTTTTGTACTGATTGGGCTGTCTCTACATAACTATGGAATGGGACTTTACAAAAGAGACATAATGAGTGATTTCTTGAGTGATTTTTGCTGTGGGATTAAAAGGGGAAAGAAAAGGCAGTCAGGGATATGAACAGATTGGAAGCACCAAACAAAGCAAAACTGCCAGAATCTGTAAAAAACCTGTCATTTAGCTGCAAGTTTTGTGACAAATCATTCTATTCCCTTACAGCAATCCTACTTTTCTACTATAAGGATCATCTACACTGTAGGATACAGCGTGTCCATCACCTCACTCATCATTGCTGTGGCAGTTCTTATTGCATTCAGGTAAAGGCAACCTCTGACCTCGATTCTTTTAACAGAATTCTTTGTCTGACGCTATAGAAGACACCATTAGACATTAAAAAGTGACATAGATAGAAATCCAGATGAATAAAAATTAAGATTTCCAGTCATATAGGTTTAATAACATTAAACTGAAGCTGGAAATGAGAAGTGATCAGAGAGAGCCAGGCAGAAAGAGAATCAGAGCTGGGAAATAAACCCTGGCTGAATGTTGGCAAAACTCAGCAACTCACTTGGATCCTGAAAAACTAATAGATAATTTTACTGCTTTTGTTGGAATAAGGGTATTTCTTTACAAACTATGTGTACTTGCCTTGTGTGGCTTCAGGGAATTTTATATTAATAGCAAGAACATGCACAAGGAACTTGATTGTAAATCAATGTTCCTATGGCATTGTATACATTACTATTGAAAAAATTTGTAATTAAAGACATATTTTAAAATTAGAATTTGGCTATGTTTGGTTTAGATTTCTTTCTTACTGAATGATCCATCAATTAGGTATTTTCAGGTATAGTTTAGAGTATCTGGAGTAAAACTGCTTGTTTATTTAATCATTTAATGTGTATTTAATGTTTGCTGCCACGTAGGATTCATTTTATTAATCTTTGTTTGTTTCTTGTATTTCTGCAAGACGAGAAAGGCTGGAGTTTTATGACTGTGCTGTGAGAATCAGGGTTCTCTGGGGAAAGTTTCTTGACCTCTCTTGGTTCCTAGTCCATGTCTGGAAGCCAGCAGATATGTTTATTGACATCCACTCTGACCTCAGGAAAACAAAGCAACTCAAATGAGGGGAAAGGAAGAAACAATGGACACAAAGAGACACAGCAATAGGGAGGAAAAAAATTGTAGTTAACAATGGGGTTGACATTTGAGGTCAGTAATAAAATTCTGCCCACTCTGGGTGAACTTTGAGATCAAGTGACCCTCAGGTTACTGGAGCTGGGCAGAATTCAGCTTTTAATGGAACTCTTTGCTTATTAACTAAAATCTTCATGTCCAAGTGAAAACATAAAAATGAAGCTGTCTAAATCTGTGTTTAATAACAGTCAAAATTTAAATTTAATTAATTGAGAAGTTAAGGTAGATGTGCCAAGTTGTTTTAAAGCACTTCTCTGCTTTCACTTAATTCATAAAAGTAACTTCGGTAAAGTAAGGAAAAAGCCTTTAATTTTGGATAAGGCTGTCTTCATGGGGGTTTAATGCAATTTAACTCATCCATGGCATGGCAGAGAGAAAATATTTTTAAGCAACTGTTACCCTGTTCATTGGGAAGAGTATCTGCTTATTCCAGGATATCCCTGCCTGCTTGGTCTCGGGAGTGGTTTAACCACTGTCTGAATTGTATCAGTAAAGATCATTCCTCAAATGCAGGATTGGCCCCAAAATAATGCCAACCAGAAGCCTGGCTCAGGTGTACTGAACACATACACAAACTTAAGGAATTCCAGATTCCTTGAATTTGCCAGGCCAGAAGCATCTCCAGGCCTCCACCCAACCTGGAAAGGGATTTAGATGTAGACTGTGGGTGAGGAAGGTTTTTATGTCTGCCTGAGAGAGCTCAGTGGATGAAAGTGTTCTTCCTATATGTGTTTGGAAGTGAAAATGGGATGAAACAAGGGTTTATTTCTTATTTTGATTACCCCCAGCACAAGCCAGCTGTGCTGTGAAAGATCCCTCTTTTTTTCTTCCAGGAGGCTTCGCTGTCCCAGGAATTATATCCATGTGCAGCTCTTTTTTACATTCATCTTAAAAGCCATTGCTGTTTTCATTAAGGATGCTGTCCTTTTCCAAGAGGAAGGCATTGATCACTGCAGCTTCTCTACAGTAAGCACATGAAAATCAGCATACTGTGGTACCTGATATTTTCACATACCACTTATATATGGTTTCACTTTTCAAGGCTCTTTTTACTACTGCTTATTTTTTTTCCTTCTGACCTGTAATGAAAGTTACATAATTCTTCTATTTAATATGTTTTGCCTCCATAAATGTGAACCTTTTATGTTCTGAAAGCATCAGCTTCTGGTCTTGAAGTACTTTAAATCAAATTTAGACTCTGACGTAGCAAAAAGTAGTGTCATTTCACTGTTATGTTTCTATAATCTGAAGCTTAAAACTGGAGATTTCTGAGTGTCTCACAGAACAACTTTTAAAGCTGATTCTTCTGGAAATGTTGGATTTCATGTTCTGACTGAAAACTCTGACGTGTAAACCACAAAATGCTCCAGGTACTCAGCAATCAAAAAATCTTGTCAACCTGGGCATGGTTTTCAAATACAGGTTCATGGGATGGTTCCTCTGCATTCCTCATGGCCATACAGAAGTTTAGAGTTGAGCATAAGGAGGAAAATGGGTCCTCGAACCTTTGTCTAAGAAGCATTTGACACTGAAGATACACTGAAAGCAGTGAATTTGAAAAAAAAAAAAAAAAAATTTAAAAAATCCTCTGCTTGGGAGCCCAAGCTGTATTTCTAACGTAGAGAAATAAAGCAAAATACAGTGGAGATTTCAAAGTATTATAATGGTTAAAGCCTTACTATTCAAAAATCAATTTTACATTTGAAGCTCTCATTTTAAACATCATGAAATAGTGAGGTCTTGTTCTCTGTAGAACTCAAGCAGAATTACAGATGTCTGCAACATCTGCAAATAAAACACTTATGTCCACCTTAAACTGTGACTGTCCTGTTCCTTAGACCGAATGCAAGATCTCTGTGGTTTTCTGTCACTACTTCATGATGACCAATTTCATGTGGCTGCTGGTGGAGGCTCTTTACCTAAACTGCCTCCTGCTCTCATCCCTTTCTCATGGAAGAAGATATTTTTGGTGGCTTGTCCTCTTTGGCTGGGGTAAGTCAGGCTTTTCCATGAAATTAGTGAAAGGCAAGATGTTAAACAAGTTCAGCCTGGAGAAAAGAAGGTTTTTGGGGGGCTTGGTGTCTTACAGAAGCTTCCAGTACGTGATTGGGGCTTAAAATTAGGCTGGTGAGGGAATTGGCACAAGGGCAGGGAGTGATGGGAGAAGGAAGAAGGTGAGGCCCTGGCACAGGTTGCCCAGGGAGGTTGTGGACTTGCCATCCCTGGAAGTGTTCAAGGCCAGGTTGTATGGGACTCTGAGCAACCTGATCTAGTGGAAGGTGTCCCTGCTGGTTGAAACTGGATGATCTTTAACGCCACTTCCAACCCAGGCCGTTCCATGATTCTGTGATTCTCCCATTAAAAATACTGGATGTAGAATCTAATCTGCCTGACTTAGGCATTGCTCTGATTTTATTTTTACATGCATATTAGTGAGGATCAATCTTTTTTTTTTTAAAGAACAGCATTAAAGTATGAAATAAGTTGAAAATTAAGTACATTTAGGAACCCCCAGGGAGAGATCCAGTCTCAGCCTTCTTCTCCCCACTGAAAATGCAGCCACCTCTATGGAACTATCACAGACACCAAAGTTAGATGTGACTTGCTCCTGTTCATGCACAATATAGTTACACAGCCTGAGAATGGGTCCATCTGGAGTTACAGCAAGAGTTTTTGTTGTCCTAATATTGCTACAGCCCCTTTTATGCACTGGGCAATTGTATGAATAAAAAAACTCTGTCCAGTAAATAACAGGGCAGGCATGAAACAGCAACACTCCCACTCTTTCTGGTGGAGTCTGGAATAAATCTAATTGTTCAGACCTTTATGGAGACCCAGAAATCAGAGACTAGGTGGCTGCCCAGAGAAAGTGGCTGTGTAAAGCAGAGAACTCCTTAATGGCAGGTGAATGCACTTGCCCAGAGGAATTTTTTGGTCAGTTGAGGGAGGCAAATGTTAAATTAAGCCTGACAAATCCCTTTTGGTGTTTTAGGGAGACTTGAACTTGAACTGCCTTTTAAGATAGAGTGTTATCACCTTCTGTGTTTGTGAAGTGCTAACAGTGCTATTATTTTAAGATTTGGTAAATGCAATTCCTAAACATTTTGTCCTGCAAAAAGCCTCCTTGTTACTTAAACCTGGGGTTTAATGTGCTCTCTGCATGCAAGTGGCAGCTTCAGGGAGAGCACACAGGTGAGCTGTGTTCATCTGAGCAAGAGGCTGCAAATTCTGCCATCTGGGACAGAACTATCTGTGTCCCTTTGTACCTTCAAGACACAAACAAGACATAACTTGCTTCATTCCACCCTGGGGATCAGAGGAATTCCCTTTAGGTTTATACTTCGAGTTTAAAACAATTCCTCTTACATGAGGAGACCACAAAGGGTGATTCCAGCTCTGAAAATGAAGGATCTGTGTCACCACAGCAGAGTTTCAGTGGACAAGGTTTGGATTATTTGATGAAACCAGGCAACCCCAATTTTTGTTTAAATGTCTGACAGGTTTTCCTACACTTTTCACCCTCACATGGATTTTGGCAAAATTCTACTTTGAAGACACGGCGTAAGTCCTTGTTTCCTACTTTATTCTATGTTCTTGATTCATATTCTTAATTTATTGCAGTGATTACAAGCCTGCCTTTTTCTAAACTCTTGCTGTTTTTTGCAGATGCTGGGATATTAATGAAGGCTCTCCTTACTGGTGGCTAATCAAAGGACCTATTATAATTTCTGTGGGGGTAGGTGCTTCTGAGTTTGCCAACATTAATTAGGAGAAAAAAAAGATTTTTAAATTAAAGTCTTGTTACTGTTTGCTGAGATGTGAGAAGAGGGATGGTGGAATTTCTACTGTAAACTTGCCTACATATAATGCAAATTATAAAGGGGCAGAGAATTGACACCCTTACAAAGCAAACATCCTTCAAACAGATTAAAACCTTCATAGAACTGTCACTTAATTGAAATTAATAGTGAGTGAGTGGCTGCACTGTCCTCAAAATATTTGGAAGCAAATTTTTAGCATCAGTCCTCAGAATCAGCCATAAATTTTAACACAAACTTTCAAGGTCAGTGGGTTCCTGTTCACAGCTGATAACAGTGATAATAACTCTTGAGCCTGACATTTATTGGATAAACTGATGGGCTTTAAATGATTATCATATCAAATTACTCCCACATGTCATTAAACCCAAGCAGTGTTTGAGAAAGCAGCTACTGGACCTTAAGACCAGCTATTAAAAGCTTAATTTATTTGGAGGACAGCTGCATGCAAATGAGGCACATGGAATCATAGAGTGGTTTGGGTTGGAAAAGACCTTAAAGATATGCATAAATAATGTGAATAAAGAATCTCAAGTCGAATTCTGGTTATACTTTACCATATTTCAATAAATTATTGCATTTCCTCCTACCTCGATGACTTCTCCTCCCCTTCTGACATCCACATCTGAGGTCAGGGGACTGCAGTGATGATTTCTCTGATGGAATGTACATGAGGCATCACTGATGGATAAAATAAGATTGGAGTTTCTGGTAAAACGAGGACGTTCTCAGGCAAAATGAAGCATTCAGGCTCACCTAAAGAAGAGCTGGTGTCTATGGACACACAGAGAGGCACAGGGAGAATCTCTCTGATTGTGGAAAACCAAGCAGCCTCACAGACTTTGGGTAAATCTATGCCAAATGGCAGTTGTAGAAAATTTGATTTGCAAGCCAGGCTTGACCCTAGCAAGCTTTGGAGCTGAGCTAATGCTCCTCAGAGACTCCTTCGGAGTCAACAGAGAGAAATCTCCGCTTTTGGCATCTGACTTCAAATAAATGTCTTCTCTGGGAGGAGATGAGTCGTTCCCAACACCTCCTGAGGCTTTGTTGGCTCTCCACTGTTGGCAAAGGCAGAGCAGGGTGATCAGCTGGGGTGGAGGGATCTCACTGTAGAGATATTTAGCCAGATAAGTTCCAATAAAAACGTCTGAAGAGATCAGCAAAAACTTGATTCCAACTGATAAGAGCTACGAAAAGTAAAAGAGTCACACAAGCTGTTGATGAAAATATTCTGCTCAGCAAAGTCAGATTCTCAAGTTTTCATCCTCAGCCACTTGTTTAAGAAGGAATGTAACCTATTTAGAAATAACATTAATAACCTTCCACTGACACCACTGAAACTGCACACATTACATTATCACTGAAATTTAACCCCCCTACCCCGATTTTCATTAAGAAGTTTAATATCAGAAATTAACCTTTTTCTTTTTCTTCCTCCCCCCTTCTCCCAAATATTGTGAGCAGGTCAATTTTGTCCTATTTATCAACATCATCAGAATTTTGCTGAAAAAACTAGACCCAAGACAAATCAACTTCAATAACTCTTCTCAGTACAGGTAGTGTATGGCATAATTTTTTTTTAAAAATCAATTATTTCAATAATAAAAACTTCTATAATATTTTCTAAGCAGAGAAGCACTTGTTCAGTGTTACAGACAGGTTTGGTTTAACTGGCATTAAATTTTAGAAATTCCCAACCTTATCCCATTCCCAAAGAAACTGATCAAAGGATAAGACTCAATTCATCTGATACGGGCCAACATAACATATTCAGACGAGTTCTGATGTCTGCTTTCCAATTAAAATCAATTGGGAGGCAAGAAAACCATTAATTGAACCTGCATTAGATGTCTGATCTACAGCAGGATAAATTACCCTCTAAGCTGCCTTTTCCTATATGAGAACTGTAGGAAGAGTCAGAATATTTCTATTTTACATGTATTTTATATATATTAGGGGTTTATTTCACTTCTGTTCGTTACTGTGCCATACTTTGTGCATTGGTCTTTACTGAGGGAAATAATCTCACCTTCCTTTTTCTCCTGTCCTTTGCCAGACGTCTCTCAAGGGCAACTCTGCTCCTCATTCCATTATTTGGAACCCATTACATCATCTTCAACTTCCTCCCAGAATACACCAGCCTGGGGGTCCGGCTCTACTTGGAGCTCTGCATTGGATCTTTCCAGGTAAAAAGTGATCATGGAGGCTTCAGTTCCTTCTTAGCGGTTTTTCTAATTCAATCTCGTGTCCAGATGCCAATTAGGGTTGCTTAAAAAGTCACTGGACCCTGAATCCGCTGTCTCCTCACCAAGTTCACGGTTCTTTGCTGGGTCCCAATCCCTGAAGATGTGACCTCCATCCCATCTGGCTTTAGGCTTGACTGCAGATTTGCAGACTTAGCAAATACAAGGCCAAGGCTTTCAGAGAAGAGTGTAAATTGGATGGTGGGTCAAGGTCAAGCATGGAAAATCTTCTTTGCTAGCAGTCCTGGTCCACATGCCTTCCGTGACTTCACTAACAAGCTGATTTGGGGCTGATGTTAAATTATCCAGAGGCAATTGAAGCTGTAGGTCCAGCCCCCTTGGTGAGTTTTTTGGCCAAGGATAAATTGATAAGCAAACATGAACATGGAATAGTGCCTGGTGCATGTGCCAGCCCGTGCAGAGTTCCATCCTCAGCAATGCCACAGCAGTTTCCCTCCTGCAAAATATTTGGTGGATGCCCCCAACTGCTCTAAGTTGGCACACAGGGAATGGACAGCTTGAGGAGTTTGGGGCCAACCAGAACAGCTCCTGGGGCTGCTTTGACACATCCCCCAGGTGGTTTGGCTACCTGAGTTATGAGCTTTTCAGCATTTCTTCACGTTGATAAACCTGGTTTTTTCTGTTTAGATTATATGATTCAGAATTTTAATTAGGTGGGGCAGGAATAATTCCATTTGTTTTAGTATCCAGATCCATTTATATTATATATGGTCTAGATGTTGTGAGAAGTTTGAACCTTAAATTAATTATATAGGAAACATAAAGTTTTATCTTCCATATTTTAAAATACATTGAAACCCTGGAATTTCCCCTTCTTTTCTGACTGCAGGGTAGCTGAGGTAGCTATTTTAGGGTATGATTTGGGTTCAGTTTCAGATTGCACTAAGACTCTGCTGGATTCTGCCTGCAGCTCCTAAAAAGGATAGAGCCCAGTTATCCCTTGCTTCCCTCCCTCTCCCTGTGCTGCACCTCAGAGTCTCCAAGGAGCAGCTCTGGGAATCCCATCCAACCTCACAAGGGAACATATCACACCCTGAACAGTTGCACAGCATCATTTGTTGGTCAGAATCACCCAAAAAACAGCAGTTGGGCTGGTTTGGTCCTCTTGAGGATTGAACCCATTGCCCAATAGACCCTGCCCATCTTCATCCCTATCTTCTGTGCAGGGAAAGGACTGAGTTAATGAACAAATAATGAATAAGTTAATGAATAAAAGGGTGAGGTGTTGGGCTGTTATCTGCTCATGTAGGTCCTTTGACCTCCAGGGATTGTCCTGAGTTTATCTCAGTTCAGAGTTTAACAGATTCAATAGGCAGGAATCTCATCTGATACACTGCAAAGACATAAAAGTTGACTTGAAAGCTGTGTAAGCTCCATCCATGGATTTCCTTCTGAAGTCCATTTTTCCTTCCTGATTTATAAAGTGTAAAGAATTAATTCAGAGTGTTTTTGGCTGGAGAATGGACGATGCATTTGTAAATATGTCGTGGGAGGACTGCAATTGCCACATCATCTGTTCTTGTGAATTCAGATTGTTTTACTGACTTTAATGAAATGCCACCAACCAGGTGTTTATCTGGCTGTTCAGCTTTATTGGAGATACAGAAAATATCTCTCAGTTTATAACAATCCTCCCACCTCTAGTGATACTCATTAATTCACATACACCATCATGAAGTCAGGTAATGACAGTGGCTTTTTCAAACTTTTCTAACACCTAAAACTTTTTTTTTTTTTGTCTTTCTCAGGGCTTTATTGTTGCAGTTCTCTACTGTTTCCTGAACCAGGAGGTAAGGGAATTATATCCTCTACAGTATTGCTTTCACTGGCAAATATACACAGCAATCAGTTTCATACAAGCAGATAATCAATTTTTTTCAGTTTCTTGGCATTGTCTGTTAACAGTGGGAATCAATGTCCATGAATTTCAGTTCAATTATCTTCATGAGAATGAAGCCATCTAGTGGAGAAATCAACTTTTACTACTTTTCTATCCCTCAAGTATTTTTTATCTTTTCTTCACATTTTTACCCTATAGTAGGGCTTGGAAATGCCCTGAAAGCAAAAGCTGCTGCAGTGATGCAGAAGGGTCTCCATTCACCAAAGGTCTATGACTAAACTGGAATTAAAATTGATGCTGTTTACCCAATAATAAAATATTATTTTTCAGCATTTTTCTTTTGCTTCTGAAGCTTTTCAGCTATTTTTCATATTGCTAAACTTGTTCTTCTGTTTAGAATATACATTTCAGAATTTTACTGTAGATGGGACAGGAATAATTCCATTTATCTTAGAATCCAGATTAATTTCTTATTGTCTAGGTGTTGTGATAAGAACAAATCTCAAATGAATTATATAAGAAACAAAAAGTTTATCTTCCACAATTTAGAATATGTTGAAACAATGGAATTTCCTCTTCTTTTCTGACTCCAGGGTAGCTGAGGTAGCTATTTTAGGGTATGACTGGGGTTCAGTTTCAGACTGCACTAAAACTCTGCTGGACTCTGCCTGCAGATCCTAAAAAGGGACACTCCTGTTTCATATATTCCCACCCTCCCTCCCAACAAAGGGCATCCCCTGGAGTGTCAACGGTGTGTTTAGGAGGTGAATCCTGTCCCTAATCACTCCAAACTCCCTGGGCTGTGTTGACCAAATCTTCATTTTCCAAGTTTAAAGCCTAGGGTTGATTAGGCTTTCAAACTGTCCTTCATCATTTACATGTGCCACAGTCCAAATTTCCTGAGTTTTATCAGAAATTTCTGAAAGATTAAGTCAAATCTTTTCAGATATATTAACACCTCTTAGCCTTCTGTTTAGATTTATGGCTGTGAATTATTGTCTATGCTGTCTATGTATCTATGGATTATTGACTATACTGACTAACAATCCTAATCCCTTCTAACTACAGACACAGTTTTATGTTCAGTTTGACATTCCAGACACACAGCTCTTCAATTTAGAAATTTCCTTCCCATTAAACATCTGGAAGGGCACATTTTTACAAGAATCAGATGTGACAGGAGGCTTTAGTGGGTGGTCTGGACCCACTCTGTGTTTCTGTGAACACAGCAGTACATGATATACAGAGTTGTCAACAACAGAAAGCAAAAGTTTGCTGCTGGCTTTCCCCTCATCATCCTAAATAGCAAAGCAGTATTATTTCTCAGCCTGGTGAATGTTGGTTAAGAAACTCGCTGCAGATGATACTTTTCCAGCAGCAGATGGAAACAAGACAACCCCCCTTAGCAACAGAGGAAGAGCAGGCAATGTGGAGCAAACGTTTAATTGTGTAGGCAACGTTGGTGAGACCATTGGTAGAACAAATTTTCAAAGGAATATTTAAAAAAAAAAGGAGAGAAGATTAAAAAAAAAAAATTGCAGAGAAAATATTCTAGTGGTGGAGAACACAATTTCCAGTGCTGGAGTTAGTCTATCAGGCTTAGTGCTGATAGCAGGAAGGTGGACTGAGGGCAATAGGCTTGAAATGGAAACCAGGTAAGTTAAAAATGGAAGTGGTACTTTTTTTATTATTATTATTTATTTAATTGTGTGACAGATGGATGGTTGGGCCCATGGTCATTGAGTAGGAACACAGAACTGGGTCATCTCACACAGAACCATGGAATGGTTTGGGTTGGAAGGGAACCTAAAGTTTATCTTGTTCTACCCCCTACCATGGGCAGGGTCAACTTCCACTAGCCCAGGTTGCTCCAACCCCTGTCCAACCTTGCCTTGAACACTTCCAAGGATGGGGCATCCACAATTTCTGGACAACCTGTGAAAATGCCTCACGACCCTCTGAGCAAACAATTTCTTCATAACACACAAAATCTACTCTCTTTCAGTTTAAAGCCATTTTCCCTCCTCCTATCACTACATTGAATATGTCCCTAATTCTTGAGAGGAAGAGTAGGGTTCATTTATCTCTTGCCAGCATGGGAGGCAAACTCTGAGCCAGCCCCACTGGAAGTTTCCATCAGTGCAGAAAGATGCCCATGGTGGGGCAGGCCAGATAAACTGGAGGATCCTACATTTCTCTATCAGCTAGAAAGGGAACTAACTTGAACTGAGATGTCTGAAAACTTTCTCTAGGCACTGTTTCTGTGTTGCTTCTTTCCCACTGGTCTGCTCCCAAGCAGCATTTAACCACAAAACAGTTTTCTCCTTTGGTTTTGAGGTGCAAACAGAAATCGGGCGGAGGTGGCACGGGAAGAGATTTGGGCTCGTGCCGGTGTGGAGGAGGACGAGATGGACTGTGCCATCCAGTTCTGGAGTAAAGATGACCACATCTGTGTGCTGAAGATGCCTCATGATCTGGAGTAATCATACATAAAAACCTGGTTAGGGAAAAAAAAAAATAACACCCCACCAAACAACAAATTAACTAAAACCCCCAAAAACATAATGATTGCAGCTTGTGCTGAGTAAATAGGAGGAGGTTCCACTTCTGCAGTTCTGCTTGTGGGGCATCTTTTGCAGGACAAGCATTGTAGTGACAGATTAAACACTGCCTGGCCTTTTAAAAACAAAATAACCCCCTCATTGAGACACTCTTCATCACAGCAAACAAAAACCAGCTATTACTGTTCACTTTTATGCTTTCACTGATAAATATATGGAATTAAGTGCCCAGGGAGTGGACATCAGTAGTACCCTTAAGCTCTGGAAATTGTAATTCAATCCTCATGCAATGGGAGCTGGAGTCTATTCAGCTTCTTCAAGCTTTGCTCCTAGTTTTGATTCAGTAAACATGAAAATAAGAAGCCAAAAAGTCTTATTGAAACACAAAGTCTTTGCAACACAAAGACTAAAAATGTCCTCTTATGTTGTCTTTTCATACTGTCTCTTTAGTGGCAAAAAAATTTCAAAGTTCACCAAGAAAACCCCAAACCACTCTCGTGTTCTGATGTTATTTCAGTATCTACAGTTTAGAATATTTCTGATAACCAAGAAGCCAAAGTGGAGGCACTGGGAAGGCCAAGGCTCCACATGATAATAATAAAGGAATAACTGCTCTTTGCAGGGAAGCTAAAAAGAAAAGCCAACTTTTGTAGAGGAAGAGAAAGAGACCTCCAGGAGAGGGACAAGGAGACTTTGTGGAATATTGCTAAGTGTTTTCTTAGGTATGGTTGTTTTTGCTCTCCAATGTTGTAAAACATTCAGAAGCTTGAAAATAAACTTGTGATCCCAGTGTTTGTACTTGAGGTCTTTTATTTGGTTTTGTTTCGGTTTTGTTTGTTTGGTTGGTTTTGGTTTTGCTTTTTCCCCCAATGGTTGTCTTAACCTGTAGATTAATGGGTCAATCAAACCTCTTTGATGGGAACATCAGGGTTTGGAAAGGAGTGAAGGAAGCTAAACTGTACCAACGAGGGAGAGTCATTGCATCAATACATTTTGCTCTGCTCTTCTGAACATTTCAGTGAGCTGCAAAGTCTAATTGGACAGCAGAAATTATAACAGAGAAAAGTGGAGTTGCTTTCCTTTTTTTCCTTTCCTTTTACATAAAAAACCTGGATGACGTAACTTTCCACTCCTTCAAGTTATCTGTCATTACCTGGATACAGGTGGAATGTTATATCACCTGGTTTTTGTGTAAAAGCTGAGTTCCAAGAAGGTACTTTTCTCTTCCAATTAAAAAAATCCCTCCCCTCTCCCCCCCAAAAAAAATAGTTTTCTCCTTGTTATTCTTCTCCCTGTGAAAATTACAGCAATGACTGAACTCAGATGGGAGTGTGGGAGCACCTTGGGGAGCTCTGGGAGGAAGGAGCTCATTTCCAGTCCTGCAGTGACTCCTTGGAACAGTTTACAATGTGTGGCCCAGGGTGTTGCTCACACTGGTTTTGTTCCTTTGTCCAGAGGAATTCAAGGTGAGCTGGATGGAAAGTAAGGGACTGACAGAGAGGTGCCTTTCAGTGTCACACAGCATCCAACTGACATGGGAAAGTGGCATTATCAGTAAACACAAGTGTTGAGGCTGTTGAAAGAGGCTTTTTCCCTGGAGATGGATTTTTTCCAGTCTCCAAAAGATCTCCATCAGAACGGAGCCCAGAGCAATAACTCAGGAAAGACATCCATCTCTACCCACATATATTGAGACAGAAAATTCCCTGCAGCTGCTGCATTTCTCTGGGTGTATAATTAATTGTGAATATTGGCTGATTTACTCTAAAAACCCTCGTGCTCCATAAGTGGAAGATGAAAGGAAAAGCGATAAAACCAAAATGAAATTCTTTCTGCTGAACAGATTGCCTGGCTTAGCTGATCTCTGCATGTGTGAGGGCACTTTTTGACCCCCATGTCTCAAGCAGTGATAGAAAGTGTCATGTCGAGACTCTCGTGAGCCTTGACTGTATCAAATGGATTTTCTTGTCTTGTAATTAAATCCTGCAGTTTCGAAATGGTGTTTCCATGATGGCTCTGACATTAAATGAGTAGCAGATATGAAGGCACATGAATACAGGGGCTTCTCAGGGCTCTTGTTCTCTGCTTTTACAGAGGCCTGAATGAAGGGATTGGCTCCAAATCCCTCTGCATCAAGAATACCAGTGGTCTGTCCTAATAAATTCCATTGACTCTATATAATACATATTTATTAGGCATAATTATTTGGATGAATTCTAGTACCTGTGGCATCCCTTGTCACCTAAATAAGGATCTTGCATACTGGTCATGGTCCTTTTTTAGACTTCTCAACTTTTTTCTGACATGAACAGAGACTGGAATCTTAATTTCATTCCTTCCTAAAAGAAATAGATACTTCAGGGAGAATACTTGCCTTTGAGATAGCTGAAACTGGAAACAGAAATGGTTACAATCAGAAGAAATTACTCTGATTATTTAATTAGAATATTAATATGAGTTTTTACAATGCATGGCATGGATGTTTGAGTTACGCTTTCAGCAAATTCAGTTTTAATATAAAGCGTTAATTTAAAAGCTTTAGCAATTTAATTTTTCAATATTGACTTTAGATAATTTATACTGAGTTTAACACCAGGGGCACGTGCACAATTATTGCACAAGAGTATTTTTCTGCGAGTTCTTGTTTGTCACATGCAAGGTTTGATAAAACAAGTATGAGAAGTGTGAGCAGCAGAAACTCCTTAACCTTTGAAGAATAAATCTGGCCAAGAGTGATTTACTTTCACTTGGAGCAGGGCCAGAGCAACGAAAACCTGAGCTTAAATAGGGGATCCTGCCCAGGGTGTGCAAATTGCTCCAAGGTTTACAGTGCAATGAGGAAAGGTAGAAGGAAAATGAGGAAAGGCAGAAGGAAAATGAGGAAAGACAGAAGGAAAATGGAGCTTGCAGGACACAAGGGCTTGAGCTGATCTCACTGCAGCTGCAGAAGGAAAACACATAAAGCTGAGTTGTAGGTGTTAATCTCAGATTTCTACCAGTTTAGATGCAAGTTAAGTCATTGGGGCTCAGCTTTAGTGTTATGTCAAAAATAATTATATTATATTAGTTTATTTTTCTGTTCCTATCCTTAAATACACCTGCCAGATGCCTAATATTAAGCAACATGACAGCATGGCATGACCCCATCTTCCAATTCTCTTTTTGAATGGAAATACCCCAAGTATTTGTGGGAGTATTTCATTAGTTTCTTCTATGATGCACATTTAGGTAACATTTTTCATAGAATCATAGAATCATAGAATAGATTGGGTTGGAAAAGACCTCCAAGATCATCAAGTCCAACCCCTGATCCAACTCTAATTACTATATCATGGCACTAAGGGCCATGTCCAATCTCTTTTTAAAAACTTCCAGGGATGGTGAATCCACCACCTCTCTGGGTAGGCCGTTCCAATGCCTGATCACCCTCTCTGTAAAGAATTTCTTCCTAACATCTAACCTAAACTTCCCCTGGCAGAGCTTGAGCCCATGTCCCCTTGTCCTGTTGTTGGTTGCCTGGGAGAAGAGACCAACCCCCACCTGGCTATAACTTCCCTTCAGGTAGTTGAAGAGAGTGATGAGGTCACCTCTAAGCCTTCTCTTCTCTAGACTAAACAATCCCAGCTCCCTCAGCCTCTCCTCATAGGACTTGTGCTCAAGTCCCTTCACCAGCCTGGTTGCTCTTCTCTGGACCCGCTCCAGCACCTCAATATCCTTCCTGAACTGAGGGGCCCAGAGCTGAACACAATACTCAAGGTGCGGCCTCACCAACGCAGAGTACAGGGGAAGGATCACTGCCCTGCTCCTGCTGGCCACACTGTTCCTGATACAGGCCAGGATGCCATTGGCCTTCTTGGCCACCTGGGCACACTCTGGCTCATGTTCAGCTTCCTGTCGATCAGCACCCCCAGGTCCCTTTCCACCTGGCTGCTCTCCAGCCACTCTGTGCCCAGCCTGTAGCGCTGCAGGGGTTGTTGTGGCCAAAGTGCAGGACCCGGAACTTGGCCTTGTTGAACTTCATCCCATTGGAGTCAGCCCAACTCTCCAGTCTATCCAGGTCTCTCTGCAGAACCCTCCTGCCTTCTGGTAGGTTGACACTCCCTCCCAATTTGCTGATGATGGACTCAATCCCCTCATCTAGGTCATCGATAAAGATGTTAAACAGGACTGGGCCCAGCACTGATCCCTGGGGGACACCACTGGTGACCGGCCGCCAGCTGGATGCAGCCCCGTTCACCAGCACTCTTTGGGCCCGGCCTTCCAACCAGTTCTTAACCCAGCAGAGAGTGCCCCTGTCCAAGCCATGGGCTGCCAGCTTTTCCAGGAGTATCTTATGGGAGACAGTGTCAAAGGCTTTGCTGAAGTCCAGATAGACACATCCACAGCCTTCCCCTCATCCACCAGGTGAGTCACCTGATCGTAAAAGGAGATCAGGTTGGTCAAGCAGGATCTGCCTCTCCTAAACCTGTGCTGACTGGCTCCGATCCCTTGTCCATCCTGTAGGTGCTGTGTGATTGCACACAGGATGATCTGTTCCATAACTCTGCCAGGCACCGAGGTCAGGCTGACAGGCCTGTAGTTACCAGGGTCAGCCTTGCAGCCTTTTTTATGGATTGGGGTGATATTTGCCAACTTCCAATCATGTGGGACCTCCCCAGTGAGCCAGGACTGTTGGAAGATAATGGAGAGCGGCTTGGCAAGCTCTTCTGCCAGCTCCCTCATTACCCTAGGATGGATCCCATCTGGTCCCATAGACTTGTGAGGATCCAGGTGGCTCAGTAAGTCACTAACTATTTCCTCCTGGAATACAGGGGGGCTATTTGATTTCCTCTCTCTGTCTACCAGCTCCAGAGGCCAGTTGCCTTGAGGGCCACCTGTCTTACTGGTAAAAACTGAGGCAAAGTAGGTGTTAAGTACCTCAGCCTTCTCCTCAT